GACGAAGGAGTACATCATGTATGGTAAGAACAGTCAAATGCAAACCTCGCGAAAAACTGCATATAGAGATTGACTCCTATTGCTTAAAGATTGAGTAATCCAAGGTGAGGGGCAGCTTGTTTTAAACATGCAACAAACATTAACACTATGCCATGTAATGTATTGCTGTATGCCAATTTTTTTCTTCAGGTTCGAGAATGCCACTACTATGGTTACAGATGTTTTTCCTACTTGCTGCCACTGATCAGCTGCTGCATGTCACACTCGCCTCACCTTCCTCCAGTCCCTTTTAAACAATTCTACATTTAACTGACTGTCACAGGCTGACACAGCGCTATATATTAGGCTATTTATATTTTTAATTTCCAAATGTCAAATATTTCAAGGAGATACCCTAGGTATCAAACATATCAAAGTATTTTTGGGGGACCGGTGTCTTGAGCACTTAGTTAATGTGCGAGAATTGGTTTGAACACATCTTTAGCATAGGGTATAATCGCAGTTAAAAGTATACAATATGCAATTACTTTATTGGGATAGATTAATGGGTAAAACCAGTAGTTTGAAATATCTAATGTACACTGGTCTGCAATGTTTCTTTATAATCTTGTTGGCAAAAAAGAGTCGTTGTGTTTGAAAAGGTTATTAGAGGGTAATTTCAGCGTCAGCGGACAGGGTGGGTAGAGAGTACTGATGTGTGCCCAAACATTCAGGTGGGTATACACTCAATATGTATCCTTACAATACATATGTAAATAAAAAGCGTTGTATGATTCTAATCATTCAAAGGAGTGCCATAATAGCTCAATTGACATTTGTTTTAGTTGTTGCATCTATGTGTGTTTGGATAATAAACAACATTAACTATGTACTTGATCTTAATTTCCATAGGTTTTTAAAAGAAGCAACAGATACAGTGCACTATATAGTTGTTACAATTTTCTTTTCCATGGATAATGTTTAATCTCCTTAACTTCATAGGACTCTTAATTAGGTCTCTGATGTGATGTGGGTATCAACTTGGCAATAGGTCTATCTCATGCTAGATGGATATGTGTATTAAAAGGCTATACAGCCCTTGAAGCTCACACAAATAAAACTTCTATTGCAATATGTCGTTACATTTCTACTAGTAGTATTTATTCTTTGTCTCCATTTATTCTGTCTGCTGGCCTGTTCTGGAACACACGTCTTTGTACAAAAGATCCAACCAACTTTATCACCGTAGGGCGGCAGGTGGTAGAACAGGAGAAGAGACCACATTCAAAACGGGGTCCTCACAACTTCTTCATAGCTCAATTCAACACAAGCAGTATATAGATCAGTGTTTCTGTGTGTGTCAGGGGGCATGTTTTAACCTTTACTTTCCAAAGCTGTTCAAATTGTGTGCAAAACTCATTAAACTTTAAAGACACAGCGAATAATTATCAGATGATACTCTTAAAACAGTATGTGTCTGCGTAAAATCATATTAAATAATGCTGCATTAACAATAATAACAATTATCTTTCTTGAGATGGAAAATAACGATAAACTGATAATATATATCTATAGATACTGATAACAAGGGTAGCATATATGGATGCGGATAAACAAGATTGTATCTTTAAATTGCACATTCTGACAGCTAGATAGATTTTAACTTTGGGAATAACATCTTATGGATTTTCAACACTGCTGTAAATCAGACCAGACGTGAGCAACTATGTGCTATGATATTGTTGGATTTAGATAAATCTAAATGTATATAGAGCTGGTACTGTTGTCATAAATAAATATAGGACAGTCATCATCAATTTTTGCTACTTACCTTGTTGCATACAGAATTATAAAACATAATATCAAGACGGCCCTTCAGAATAAACACTAAAAGTTTAGCTACAAAAAGGAAAAATAATCGATAGCTCAAATATTCTCTGAAATGCGAGTGAATGAAGATGTCAATTTTACAAGATCAGAATGCAAAACATGAGATCCACATAAACTAAAGGTCTACCTTTTAGTAGCAAAAACACTTGAATATATAGTCCCATCTTTCGGATTCAGCTTACAGCATTGATAGTTATAACCCAGATGAGAAAACATAATGGCAATTAGGGCTGACATATGGAAGTCTGCGATGAGCCACTGATATGGGCGTTGCTTGGTACAGTATAAATAAAGACAGAAAGTAAAAAGAAAGGTTACCTCCTTGTTCATGTTCAGGTTTGGATACAACTGTAAGTACAATTTTAGTTTACCCAAAAATATTTTTTTATCAATTGTTGGTATTATTTGTGTAACATGAATAAGAGTTTCGTACTGACTGTAGACTTTGCACTCAAATTTAGGCTTACTTCCTCCTTGAGAAATTCACTTCAGCTTAAGCTGTATGTTCTGTTTGGTACTAATCAGCAAATGTTAGCATGCTAAACTATTAAAGTGAACAAGGTAAACATTAAACCTGCTAAACATCAGCACGTTAGTATTTTAAAGCTGTTAAGATTGTGAAACCGAGTAAGTCAGCATTGTGAGACTGTCAGGTCAGAGCACAGGCTCGCAGAGCTTCTAGCAGGGATGCATACATAGAATTTGAGGAATGTTTTGGCATTAAAAGCCAAAAAACTACATTCCTCATCTCAGCCTAATCAACCAGCCAATCAAAGGCCAAGTAGGGCCTGTCGTGGTGGAATGTAGTTTTTGCAGGAGAGCAGAGGAGTGTAGAGAGAAAAGCAGTAAAGTCAATCAGCTGAGTTACAGTGTTGCTAAAGAATAATTAAACCCAACATAAAAAAGTGACAGTACGCTGGAGCCTCAGGCCTCCTCGCTGTGTTTTGGCAGACCTCATTTCATAGAAGTTGAGGGCTGGAGGATGGTGGAACAAGGACAGGAAAATGTAGAACTAAGTAAAAAGATAGAGAGAGTGGATAAATCAAGGGTGCAGATAAGGGCAAGTCCCCCTCTACTAAAAAGAGCTTTTTTTCTTGTTCCTACAGTTGGATGTTTGATCTTCACTGTGCAGAATGAGGTACGTGCAGAGTTTGACACCAAAAGGACGTTTTCACATTCATGCTGCTGAAAGTGGAAAGTTGATCTATTTTCCGTGCTCCTTGGAAATCTGATCTTAAGGGGCGGAGCCTACGAGCATGATTTTTGACATCACAAATAGTTTGGAAGTCCATCCTGGTCCAGTTCATAGATTTAAAAAGACGTTGGTATCGACAGAGAGCAATAAGTTCACGGTACGACTGACTGGGGAGACCCTGAGACATCCTCAGTCACCCTGCTGGAGGAGATGGAAGACACTGTTGAAGTAAAGGGACTTTTGGGATGTTTACGGTTCAGAACTAGTGTTTTTGACAAAGGCTTCTAGATTCTCCCATATTAAAAGAAAAAAATCAATGATTAGCCACACAAATAGCTCCACACATGTTTCCACATGTTCACGACTCTTCATCTCCATTTCTTCTCACAGGTGATGAGTTGGAGAATCCTGATCATAATCTTACATTCCTGTGCCTCTGGTTAGTTTACAACTTAATTTGAAGCCACCATATACGTTTCTTGGGATGTTGTTTGCTAAACATACATTGCATTTATTTACAGCATGCTACAAATGAAAATGCCAAAGACTGTGGACAATAATGTTTTATACTTTTATACATCAGTGTGCAGTTGGCATGTGGAAAGAGCTACTTATTTGGCATTTGTGTGTCAAGAAAACAAAACCAAAAAAAGTGAATATAGTTTTGTATTAAATGTTTGCTTTAGCAAAAGCACTTATGACATTGTTTTCTCCCTCTCTTTCCTTTACAGTGGCATCTTTTATGAAAGTGACCACCAAGCTAAACAACGGTCTCATGGAAATAATGGTGGACATTGGCAACATAACCGACAAGTCCGAACCCAAATGTGATTGCATTTTCCATTCCGATACTAACAAGGTTCTTCTGAGCACCCGTTTAAGTGACAGTGAAGATCAGCAGTTTAAGGGGCGAGTTACTTATAACATAAGTGAAGATGTAATGAAGATTATGCTGTCAAAATTCAGTATTGATGATGTGGGAAACTACACATGCAAATATTTTGATAAAAGAGGTGAAATCTTAGACCGTGGTAAGTTGTCTTGACTTTTCTGATTAGCTTCATTTCATTAAATTCTTTAAATCAAGGGAAACACGGAAATGTTAACACACAGATTTCCTCCATAGGATGTTTTACCTTGAAGTGGCCCCTCCCCACACCAACATCTGGACCTGCAGCTGCTGAAGGTGAGCCAAGCTGGTGAATATCTAACAATGTAGAAATGATCTATCCAGTCCAGTTATAAGTTATAATAAAAACAAAATGTATTTTCGTATCGTGTAATCTAAGAAAATGTATCACGTTAAGTACTGTACCATATCAAGATTGCAACTTTGACACTGAAGTTAGTGCTGCCTGGAGCTGGAAATACAGTACAGTTTCAATAAGGACAAATTTAAATAAGTTAATACAATTTAATTCCACACTTTTGTGTTTCATAACGTTTCATAAAAAGGCTGGATAGCTAAATGAATACACTGTGAAATAGTATTTATTTTTATTCAGTGGATAAATGGAAAAATAGTTTGTTTTTAAGTCAGGCAGCTCAGCGGCCTCTGTGACTGCTTGCTAACTGCTGCAAAAACATCCTGATGAGGATTTTATTCATTGTTTTGCATTGCCATATTTATTTATAATTTACAGAATTTGGTTCAATTGTCCAATTCTAACTTTCTACATTTGGTGAATTGGTGTAAAAGTTCTTGCTGTGGTACTCCACCTCTGCTGAGTTGATGTATGAGATATCCTATAAAAAATGTGTTTCTTCCAACAGGTGCAACACAGCAACCAGGGGGTCCAAATGGATTTGTAACATCTGTTACAATAGTAGCAGTTGTAATAGCGTTAGGTGTAGTAGGAGTAGTAGGAGTAGTAGGAGTACTAGTAGCATTTGTAGTATTAGTAGACAAACTGGGGAGAAATTGACATGTGGAAGGTATGTTAGCTGTCCATTGTTTAATGCAACTGTTTTATGTGTGTTTGGATTTGTATGTGACAATTCTTAATTCGGTCAATAAAGCAGGTCCAGGACCAGTATAGTCAGTGGCTGAAGAAAGTCGAGAATCTAATCAGACACACTCATGCCATCCTAGATGTCAGTACGCCCTCTTAACGGGCATTTTCCTTACCTCATATTTAGCCAAACTTGAGTTGACTCAGATATTGACAGTAGTTTTACAAATAAAGTGTCTGCAGTTTTGGTATATTTCTCTACACCTATAATAATTATAATTTTATAAGGAGGTCTAGACCTGCTCTACATGAAAATTTCTGCACAGCTGCCTTAAAGGACCAGTGTGTAAGATTTAGTGGCATCTAGCGGTGTAATTGCAGATTGCAACTCACTCGCTTCACCCTCCCTTTAAAAAGGGTGAGGGAGAAACTACGGTGGCCGTGAGAAACCTCAATATAAAGCCAGCATTTGTGTCTGTTTTCCATGACGTCTGTAGTTAAAAAATGTTGCATTCTAAGGTAATAATAACACAACAATTCCTGTATTCAGGTGATTATACTCTAATGAAAACATACCTATGAATAATATATCGCATTTGTGCCATTAGATCCTCCTAAATGTTACACACTGGACTTTTTAGCAATGTTTGCATTTTTCAATGAAGTTTTAATGGGAAGCTTGTGATGCTCCCCAATGTAACTTTGTATGTCAGTGTACGTTCTAATGTGAAAACAGAATGTTTATTTTTTTATATTAATAGTCAATAATGTGTGTGTAACATTTTTAAATGTTATTGTGGCTTTGTTGACCAGTATTCAGTTTGTTAATACTGTTAATACCTCAGATATTATTGCCTGATGGAATATTTCCTGCAGTTAAAGAACAAATTATTACGGTTAACAGATTGTTTGTTCAGACATGCAATCTAGAAGGAATGTAAAGTGAACTCCCACTTTTGCAATAAAAAAAAAATGTGTATATTTTTATATCTTGAATAATTGTCACTTGTCATTAATGTTGTTTGAATTGATGTACTAATTGATTTTTAAAGCCTTCTATTGTTGTTTATCCAGTTCATTAAATATATTTATAAAAAGCATATCTCACTGTTTGACTGTGTAACCAATTTAGAATAGGCCCCCGAAATATTAGACTTTTAAAATGTACATATTCAGCCATATGTTGTAAAGTATTACTAAAGGTACAAAAGCAACAAACTGGACATTTATTTATTTTTTTACTTTTTTAACTGAATACTGAACCACAAATTCAGTAAGTTACATATTTTTATATCACGGTATAAAATGTTTCCTACATAAAGAAAAATGACAGCAGTGAAAAGTATTTTGTATTAATTTCTCTTGCATTATTTTGTTCAAAAAATCTATTCATAAAAAAGTGTCAGTAAAAACAAATACTGAAAATTGTACAAATGTCCAAGCATTTCAATGCCTAGTATAATACACAGAAACATTCAAACCTCACAAAATTCTGATTTAAAATGTAGAATTTGAAGAGTACTGAACTCACTCACCCATATTCTATACTAGATAACATATTTACAGTAACTGTGGCTCTATAGTTGTGCAGTTAAAACATTATTTTGTCAGACAGCAGACATACAGATCCATTTAATATCTTGCTTGCAACATATTTTTGTAGTTTGAGAAACAGTGCATATAATATAGCTCCATCAGAAGATGCAGGCTGCTCATTCAATTTGAAGACACTACTGAATAGTTAACTAACAGTTAGTTCATATTAACTAAACTGACTGTTGTTTGACCTATAGATATACTGTCAGTGTGTTTTGTTGTTCCAGTCTGAATGCACCACAACAAATGTATTTACAGCATGTTGGTTGAGATTTATACACTGATATCTACCGAGTAATCCCGACTAGTTCTGAGCAGAATGGGAATAAAAAGATCTAAATCTTTGTAGATATTTTATAGACAGTTGTTGCCCCCATGTTGAGCTGAGGGGTCACCAGTGAAGATGTTAAGAAGAAGAGGAGGAGGAGGAGGAGAAGGAGAAAGGAGAGAACGGGAGGACGGAAGAAGGAGCTTCAGGAGAGGTGAGGAGCTGATCGCACCACGCGGGGTCATCGAGGTTGATTTCCACGAACGGGTCCCTGGAGCAAACCGCTGAGGAAAGGAGAAGAGATTTTAAATATTATTTCCTTTCTAACTTTTAAATTAAAGACTCCTTTAGCGTAGCTTTGTAGCTAAAAGCAGGGAGAAACTGCTATAGCTCCATCAAAGGTGTCTTTTACTTGCATAAGTAAAACAATTAGAAACTAGTAGAAAAAGTACTAAAAGTAGCAATACCAACAAGCTAAAATTCTAATTAACAAGTAAGAACATCTTCATATTTATATCATTACATTGTCACATTTCTGTGTCCATGTGTCTTTTAATAGTTGTGATTGGATGTTGTTTCATTAACACTGGCTGCTATCAGCCACACAAATGCCACTGTGTAACGTTAGCTTAATTAACATTTAAAGTTTAAGAAAGTTTTAAATCTAATGCAGAATAACCCAATGCAGTTTAATACACTTTTGATTTGACTTAGCACCGAGATTGATAAAAGTACTTTGACTTTCGCATATCCTAAATCTATGTTGAATGTTAACAATATTGTTTAAGTCTGTGTGTTTTTTATTAATTTCTGTATGCAATGTATTCATTTGAGAGCATGAATGATTCATCTGTGCACACGTTTTTTTTTTTTTTTCCATTCCACCTTACTGGCATCTTTCCTTTAAAGAAGGGCTCCAGCAACCATGAAATACAGTTTACTCATCATAGAAAGTATGACTAAACTGGGGGCATGAAAGATGTGAGTATTTACTGGCATTTACAGGTTAAAAAGAAAGACACTATTCAGTCACATTATAGCAATTGCATGTTGCATTTTTTGCAAGGCCTGCAGCTTTATGGCAGTACTAAATCAGTAGAGATCCCCTTTAAGACGTGATGATTTTTATATTCTGTCTTTGTATCTGTATAAAGTATCTTACATGGGTTGTTGTTGTTTTCGTTCTGCTGCTCCTCCCCTATAGCGTCGAAGAACAGGTCGGTGTTGCTCAAAGGGCTGGATGTCTTGTCAGCTACATCGTCACCCGGCGAGGGACTGGTGTCAATGGTGACCGTAGTCTCAGGACCATTTGCGTCTGGCTGTTCCTGTGTAGCTGGAGTAAGAGACGCAGAAGAAGAAAGGTAAGATAGGGTGCAGTGTTTTCTGACTATACCATTGTTAGTGAAAAGACGTCCACTTGATAAATTGGAAATGAAAGCTTGGAGCTGGGAGATGAGTGGTGAGTTTACAATGTGCAACAAGCTTGCATAGCTTTAACAAACTAAATAAAAGTGTATAAAAACACCTCATTTTCTCACTACTTCTATTACCTTTCCTCATTTAACTGAAAAATACAACCATACCAGACCGAACCAGCCAAAATAAACCCTTAATTCACTGCAGTTAGATAATATTCTGACTCTACAGCCGTTTTTACTGTCACTTATAGAGAGGTGTTTTTTGCTTTATGTATCTGACGTAATTTATTAAAGCAGCTACAAGGAACACATAGAGGTATCGATATTATATTTAGTTTCATAACCATAAAAACTTCTTGTAGTAGGTTTAACATGACTCATCAGCTCTTGATGGATTGAAGTTCTGCCAGTGGTTGAATTCGAAGCTATCTAAAGAAACTGTTTGGCGAAAGTTCTCCTTTGCTCTCAAAATGTTTTTTAATGCTGTTGACTTCACAGTGTTAACCACCAAAGAATTGCATCTGATGATGTACCATTGTCTCCATTGGAGCCCTTTTCCTCTGACTGTAGAGTTGTGCCATTGGTTACTGGAGGAGGTGAAAGGTCATCGGTGGTCACTTGGTCTTTAGGGGTTGGTCGATCTGAGATACAAACCAAAGCACACACGTCATGATATGCTCATAGAAAGTGATGTTACAGTAATTTAAATATAACCACACACACCCAGGTCATCCAGGTAGACTGGCTCAAAGGTTCCGGTGGGTTCATCATGATGGTTGCTGTGAACCGGACGCTGGAGGTCAAACGAGTACGACTGGACAAACAATTAAAAGAGCAAGTCAGTAATAACAAAAAAGCAACATAAGGGCATCAGTAAATGTCTTTAACTCTAATATATTCCAATAAGTGGGTGTAAAATATGTGTTTGAAAGAAAATTACACGCAAAAAAAAAACCTCTCTTAATCTCAGGCTCTTACCCTGGAGACTTTCCTGAGCATGTAGAGAATAATAATCAGAATAATGATCACCAGGATGATAAAAGCCAGGATCACATAAGCTGGAGACAGAGGCAGAGAGAGAATATTCAGTTTTGTTAGCAGTAGCAGCATTTGGGGGCTCATTTGCATCACTTGTATAATCAGTTAATACATTATTAAGGAAATATATGTAGATAGATTAGAAAATAATGAAGTGAATAGAATAGAGAATAGAGAATAAAATAGAGCATGCTAGTTTGGCCTCATAAATAATACAAGAAATAATAGTTCAGCATCCTTACCCCAGTGCGAATGAGTGCCTTCAATTTCATCTAAAAGAGACAGACAAATGGTTATTGATCAATACTCTGAGGTTCAGTAATTCAGTTCAAACAAAAATACAATATTGCCCCCTAGTGGAGAACAGCAACAAGAACATCTCCAGATGTAGGTGTCTAATATCACTGACTGAATATCAGACTTCCAAACCCTCATCAGTTAAATTAATGAATGAATGTTAAAAAGTCATATCACAGACTGACTGGCTATTATGTCATTGTGTTTAAAACACATACAGTCAGCCACAATGCACCCACTTTGTTACGGGTGTAGTTGCCCCTTTCTCCCCATGTTTCCTGTCTGTATCTATAACATTACTGTAAAGGCAAAAGCTGCTTTCCAAGACTGAAGTTAATTATTTTGTTCAAATTGTTGTTGATGATAGCTTCCAATCAAGGCCCCCCGACCAGTATTACCCACCCTGCTATCACTCTATACATAAATAATGTTGTTTGGTCACAAACCAGGCCTTCAAACCTCTTTTCTTTAAGATCTTTTTTAGGTATTTTTGTCTTCACTGGACATGACATTGAAGACACAGACAGGAGACACCAGGGATAAATGTTGTATGACATGCAATAAAAATCCCCTGCCTAGTGTCTTTGATCATCATAGACCAGCAGCCGTAAGACCGCTTTTATTGATATATTTTCAGTTTCAAAAAGACATCATGCATGCATTTGATGTTACCATGACGTTGTGATATTCATAATCCTATCCGTGCTCTCGATAATCAATACAATGCAGCATTAAAACTACTACGTGCCACGTGTTGAAGTATCCTTGAACAAGATACTGAACCCTGAATTGCTCCTGATGCTGTGCATCAATGTGTGAATGTGTATGAAAGCATTAGTTCCTGTTCGATGGGCTTTGCCATCGCTGTGTGAATGTGTGTGAAAGGGTGAATGTGGCACGTAGTGTAAAAGCGCTTTGAGTGGTCGGAAGACTAGAAAGGCGCTATACAAGTTTACCATTTACCATTTACTCTTGGTTAGATAGCAGATTTCCCTAGAAAACACTGAATATATTTCAGATTGGATTCTTACACCAAAAAAATCTTAATTCTCTTTTCAAAGCAGAAAAAAACATTTTAGAATCTACTATACTGTCTAATCTATTTCACAAAGATATTGAAGACTATCTAAGAAATGCCCCAAAAATATCTAAAAGTAAATATTTGGAGGCCACAGTGGACAATTAAATGCCATTAGGAGTGTGTACCACTGTCAGGATATAGTGAACATATATATAAGATATAGTTAATTGTGAATAAAATAGTGAAAACATGTCAATTACCAAAATAGTTGCTTATCTTAGCTCTGATCATAATAATCCAACATTTCGAAAAGCTGTGTGTGTTGGTGTACCTGGTAGCACTTTGTATGAGCTAAAGTGACATATCAGCCATTGTGTCTGAACATTTTAGTATGCGTGGCTTGAGTGTGTGTTTGTGTGGCAGCTGGCGAGCAGTTAACAAGAATATGAGCACGTGGTAGTTGTGGTTTGACACACAGGAAGACAAACGGAGGCACACGACTCACATATATGCTTTTTGCATTTACACCAGTGAGGTACCTGGGTCTAATGTGGTACTGGCCATTGCCATAGACGTAGTCATCACATCGCCATTTTCATCCTCCTTCCCGGCAAACGTGGTTGTCTCCTCTACTGCAGTGCTGCCACTGATGTTCTTCTTTGTGTCAGTGTCATTACCATCACCATGAAGAATATAACCCTTTTCTTGAATCTGTAAAAGACATCCGATGGAGATCACATTTTGAATTTGAAAGCTTTACATCATTTAGATCCCAACATTGATTTAGTTTTCTAATCTTCTCTGTCTCAATTAAACAGCCTGAATTTTAAGACTGACTAGCTGACAGTTTCTAATTTAAATAACCTTGGCCCAAACGCGAAGTTTCAAAACGGTACTCCACAAACCAATGGGTGACGTAATAACATGTTCACACTTGGTTGAACCTTGGTTGGAACTTGGTTTTTTTATGTGAAATAATGGTTACTTGTAGTTTGGTGTGGCCTTTTCAACATTGAGAAATTAGCTACCAGTATTGTTTCATTCATGATCATTCATTTTGAAGCTGGATTTATAGTTTCGTAAGGCAGAGAAGTTGTTTGATGGTCATGGTAACATGCTACAAAGGTACGAAGATAATCATCTCAGGTTGGCAGCAGCTGTTACCATAGTGGCATTTGGCAGCAGATCTGTTACATTTGATGATGTATGAAGAGAAGGGGAGGGCGACGTGGAACGAACAGCTTCATTTTGAGCTTCATCCGCCGGATGTGGAGGTGGCGTCGGCTGTACAGAGGGATCTGTGCGAGGAGACACACAGAAGAGGTTTGGATGTAACAGCAGCAGATAAACAATACATGGCACAACCCAACATAACTTCAGACTAACATAACACATTAAACCTTACATTATAGAACAGGACAGAACACTACAGTATATAACAGAAAGGGACAAGATCCTACAATGTGCAACAAGACAGAACAGTACAGGACAGGTAACTTAAGTATAGGACAGGACACTACAGTATAAGACAGGATGGGACACTACCAGACCGTACAATATAAAAACTGAGAGGACAAGACAAGACAGAATTGGACAAGAAATTACAACATGCAACAGTAAAGAACAGGACAGGACAGCATTTGACAGTACAGGATACTACAGTTTAGACCAGGATAGTTCAGTATATGGCAGTTCAGGAAAAGGGGCTCAAGGACAAGCAAAGGCTGCCTTAAGATTTGTTCATTTTACTTTAATTTACTACTTTAGTTGTAACACAAAAAAACGAGGCACCATTTGCAATAACTAAAGCGCACACGTGTGTCAAAAACATACAATGAAACATAAAAATCACCGTCAGAAACACTGCCGAAACTTGCACAGCAAAGACTGGTGATGACAGTTTGTGGTTTTAAGTTGTCATAGTAACACAAAAAACACTTGTATATGAGTGTTTGAGGTTAGCAGTAATAATTACTGTATTCTGTCGTTGGCTGACCTTCTTAATCAGCCTGCTATTGATAGTTTCGTAAAGTTTGGAAACCACTGCAGTGCAGTACAGTGCAGAATATTGCAACACATCCACAATAAATCACTTGTTAATCAAGTCTGTCACTGTACCTGCATATTCCACGTTATTTTCAACAGTAGTATTTTTTTCTCCTCTGGAAAGAGAAGAAATTGCTAGAACTGAGACATAAAGAGAAAGTAAAATTAATAAGAGTGGTATGTAGTCATGGAAACAGCTCTAATCAGGTGAAACAATTGAAAACATGTGGCGGTAGAAACCTATCTGCACATATACTCTATTATAGTTCACAAGTATATCTCTTGACTGCTGCGTCTCCGTTTACAGAACTGCTGCTGCAACAAGTTTTCATATGTGTGAAAAAAAACAAAAACAAACACTGGTGTGAAAATGAGAGCATAGAAGTTAGAGAGACAGGGTGGCCAAGGCTAATTGATGCTTGTGGGGAGCGAAGGCTGGCCTGTGTGGTTCGATCCAACAGACGAGCTACTGTAGCTCAAACTGCTGAAAAAATTAATGCTGGTTCTGATAGAAAGGTGTCAGAACACACAGTGTTTCACAGTTTGTTGGTCTGTGGCTGCAGAACATTAAGACCACCAGGGTGCCCAGATGGCCATAATGTTATAGCTAATCAGATCAGACTTGTTGAGAAATAATCAAATCATTGCTTGATCCCCCCTATGAATTGAAATATAAAGTAATAAGACATGTTTTCCTTTTGAATACATAAAGTGAGCAAAATCTGCATTATTTTGTACATTTAGCATAGAATAGTGTAGAATGTGCTAAATGTAACAAATATAAAGGCTGTGCCTTTGAGAAAAGTTCCACTCAGAGGTGACATTAAAGTAAATAATGTGGAATTAATTTAGAATTAACAATGCACACTTAATTCATTACAAACTGTAGGTTTCTATTTCTTGAAGTGTTTTATTTATTGTATTCACCTATACTACGTTTGTGAGCTCCATATTACTTCCTGCATATCATAGCAAGTGTTCCTGAGTCCTTAAATGAACCCTAAAGTCATCAAATGACAGTGTGTGTAGAAGTGTAGATTTAGGACTAAATCAAAGCAGCTCGGTTAGAGATTTCACAAGAACTTCTTGAATCTACACGTTTCACGAGTGACGCCACGAGGTTTCGGCAGCGTCTGATTCAAATGGTGTCAAAGCAATCTGAACTTGAGCCTTGACAGCGCTGAAACTGGGCGTGCGACGGAGCGCGGGAGCCCTGATCTGTGCACAAATTTTACTTATTTACTATTTACGAGTCAATAGATCCATTTTTTAGGATCATTCTGGAAAACAACACATGATTACAAAAGCATGTTTGAAATTGAGCTGAAAGCAGGTTGGTAGTTGAGCTGAACTCACCAAGGAAGCAGAGGCAACACCCCAACTTCATCATGCTGACGAATTTACTTTCTCTCTCTCTCTCAAAATATGTTTTTAAAGATGGTGGGTGATCATCAGCGAGGCTGTTGAGTTTCCTTTTATTTCTTTATTTTGTTCCTTTTTCCACAAGCCTCTTCCTCTAATTCTACTCTCACTTCTTCTGTAAGAGCGCTCTGCTTTGTGCGCTGACTCTCTTCCTCCCCCTCCTTTCTATCACTTCCCCTCCTACCTGCTACTTGCTTTTTGCCTCTCTTTTTGATTTTTCCTCTCTTTGTGTCTGTCACTATATGGCCAAAAGTACGTGGACACATAACAGAGGTTTGGTCGAGGCCAGTGGCTTGGGACCCCAATTAAGTCGCAGCCCACTTCAGAATTCTAACCACGCCAACAACAATCAAGTTTATTTTTCAAATAGGCTAGTAAACATATGCAATGTCATCATGACCAGTGCCTGAATTGGACCAAAAAAGTGCCGTTACCCTCATTCAGCACAACCCCATACACAACATAACCCTAATTCTTTGTCACTTTTTAACAAGGAAAATGTCAGGGCTGTTTTCTTAGCATTAAGCTAGCTAGGTGTTTACACAGAGATGCAGTTATGTAGGCATTTCTAGCGTAGTGAGTACCTCACTGGCATTGTTGTACGCAGGGTTTTTAAAAATACTGAGGTCTAAAAACTGAACTTGCCAGGGTTGTTTGGGGTATGCATCAAAGTAATTTTAGGAATTATTTTATGTCCTTTATTGGATATATACTCCTTGGAAAAATACTGAGGTCCGGACCTTCAGTGGTGGGTGCCGGTATACTCAGTACTGCTGAGTACTGGCCGATTTCAGGCACTGCTCATGACCTCTTTAACATAAAATATACACATATCTTCATCCCTGCATTCAGCGTGGGTGCTGTTAAAGTGATACATTCATCAACCACTCATGGAGTAGATTTACAGCTTGTAAACACACACATATACAATATCATACACAAGATAAGATGCATATATTTTTTACTAATAATAATGAACATAACAACTGCATGTTGCTGACTAAGTAAGTAAGGCCTACAAAACAGGCTCTTTACACTTAACAGACATTGGTGGAAGCTTATCTATCAAAATAAAATTCAGGCATGAGAGCATTTAAAATCAATTAAAAGAAAACCACTAACTTCTCAACCCACTTTTGGGTCTTGACCCATCAGTTGAGAAATCATGGTCTAGGCCCATTAGCACCCTTAATGTATCATATAATAATATTTTAGAAAACTGTGTTCTTCAAACTTTGTGGAATCAGTTTGGGGAATTCAATCACTTAAGTTTCAGCATTACAATGCGCCGTGCACATGAAGTCCATATAGAATACATAAAGAAATAGATCTTGGCAGTTGGAGCTGTTACAGAGCTCTGACCTCAGCCCTATCCAACACCTTTGGGATGAACTGGAGCGCCAACTGTGAGCCAGACGTAATCACCCCACATCAGTGTTGGACCTCCCTGATGCTCTTGTGTCTGAATATAAGCAAATCTCTGCAACCAGGTTCTGATATCAGATGAAAATACTGAAACCAGAAGAGTGAAGACTGCAGCAGTAGGTTGATGATTTTGGAGTTTATGTGACTATATACCTACATATTTTGGTCATTTAGTGTGTTTTCATCCTTGTCTTTATCTTTCCTCCTGCTCTTTATGTTTCTGGTACTCTACAAAACTCTCTTTTGTCTCTACCATAACCTTTCCCTCTCTCCCCCCTCTTATTCTCGACATTTCAACCCACCCTTTCTCTCTGTCTGTCTCTCTCTCTCTGTGTTACACTCTCTGTCTTTCTACCCTGTATATTTCTTTCAGAATCAGTATTCAGGAACTGAGTCATCAACCACAGCGCTAGCTCAAGATCATGACAGGATACTAGCTCAGTTTCTGGCTTCTTACCTCAGTAACACATTGCTCAGTACTGTATCTCACTTTGTCAGGTTTGCACACACAGCCAACAACTTAACAACTTGAAACAACAGATCTCATTCTAAAAGCTATTCAGTAGATGATTTTGGCACTTTATTTTGCACAATTTTACTGATTTCAGATCAGCTGAAGACTTGAATGCTTCTCTACAAGTTGAGAAAAACAAGTATCAAAAATAGAACTTACTACAATGAGTTTTTAGCTGGTTATGTAACAGTTTCAGATTCATACTGTCTCTATGTGACCTACATAAACAAACACAACCATCAGTGAGAAGCTTGGCTATTTCTATAAAGTTATTCTTAAAGGGGGCCTATTGGGGTCATTAACAGCTCTATTGTCTTAGTCTAAGAGTCCACACTCTTTAAAAACATTCCTATTCATCTTATATTGGCCTCTTATGCAGCCCCTCAGTTCAGCTTCTGTCAACTTCATTCACTGACTTTGATAAAACAGGATCATATTTTATGGGTAAAATATATTCTTCTAGCTTCCAGTCCATTAGCAACTGTTAGCCAATAGCTACAGTTAAATGTCCATCAGATTAATTCTATAAAGAGTTGAGGCAAAGAAGCTGCAGAATATCAGAGGAAAAAAATACAAACTACGTATTGTCATTCATACATTCATTCATACAGACATTTGAAGGGTCCTGACACCTGGGCAGAGCAGTCGGATAACTTAGATCTACTGAGTGTCCATCCGTAAGCTTCATGGCCATCTAAAGAAATCCATCACAAGCTGACCTCGGCTAGTCTCCCAAAGTAAAAAAAGATTAAGAAGAAAATTAAAAAGATACTGATTTCCTTGTTATTTGACACTATATCATTTATTAAATACAATTTATTTGTCAACATAAGATATTGTAACATTATATATGACAGAAACTAAAGAAAAGCATAATAGGCCCCTTGACCTTGTTTGAATTCTAATGAATCAGATAGTAAAACAATATTGATTTTGTCCCCAGGGGGCTGCCAAAATCAACAAAAAATTAAAGTTTCTTTTAGTGGCTTTTACGTTCTGCAGCATGTCCCCCAAATTATCTGCATGTTCAATGTCAAAAATGGTTCATCAAGGTTAAAGGTTGGATTCCTGAAAAGTCAAGTCAAATTTCTACTTCACAACAGTGACAATTTAAGATCTTATCCCACACTGAATCAAAATTAGTCTGCAAAGTTATAATAAACCGAAATTTTGAAATTTTGAATCAGAGATGATGTCAAACTTTATTAATTATATCATCATAAAATCCTAGAAACAAAGCAATTTTGCAGTTCTTTAAAAGAGGTTTTAATTTACTTTACATATATTATGTACGTATATTATTATGTATATTAGATTGTAATCATAGTGTCTGCAAACAGACGCATCACAAAGATTGTGACATTTTACAAGTGTGCAATGCTCACCAAAATGTCATACCTCTATGAAGCCAAAATGCAAGGAATTAATTAACAAAAATAAAAATAAAAAGGAGAGCATATCAAGCAATAGAACGTTTTTTTTATTAAGC